ACTTTTAGAGAGAAATTTTACGTTTTTAAGAATCTCTCTTGTTTTGCTAACGGTATATTGGGCGATAATTTTTTTAAGCGTTATAATGCGATAATCAACTACGAAACACGAACCTTACAGTTATCGAATCAGGGTTCCGTAGTATGGGTAGATGGAGTGATAGGTATAGACACGTCATACCCGCCCGTTGCGAAGTTATCAAACATATTCCTTGCACTTTAAGCGAGGATAGCGTTATTTTAGCTCAAGAAATTGAGGAAGGGATTTTTATCGCAGGAATGTTAGCTAAACCATTAAATAAAAGTATTCCTATTTAGTGTTGAATACGAGAAATGAGGATATTGAGATAGATTTTTCAAAGGTCAATGTCCATTCCATTAGTAACTTCGAGGTATGCCACCTCGAAAGCGAAGAAAAAACTGTTGAGCGAATAAAAACTTTATTCGATTTACTTGATTTGAGTTATTTAAATAGGGAAGAAAGGCTCAGTATTGAACAAATCTGTGCCAAATACGCAGATGTTTTCCATTTACCAGGTGATTCGTTATCAGTTGCGAACTTAATGGAACCATAGCATAGTTTTAAAAGATAACGTGACCCCAGTTTATTCTAAGTCTTATAGGGTTCCTCAGGCGTTAAAAGGTGAGATAGAAAAACAAGTTCTGGAAATGTTAAAAAACGACATCATTGAGGAAACCGTTTCGGAATGGTCTAGCCCAGTACTTTTAGTACCCAAAAAGGTCGATAAAAATAACGAAATAAAATGGAGATTGGTCATAGATTACAGGAAATTAAACGATCGAATTCAAGATGACAAATTTCCGCTTCCCAATATAACGGAGATACTTGATTCATTGTCAGGCAGTATTTATTTTTCAAAATTAGACCTCTCCCAATCTTATTATCAATTGTCCTTAAATCCAAGTTCCCGTAAATATACTTCTTTTACATTAAATAAAATGTATCAGATTTCTTTAGATAATGAGTCACGAAAGTACACTACTTTTACGGCAGGAAAACAGTATCAAATGAAGCGGTGCCCAATGGGTCTCAAGACAAGTGCTAGTGTCTTTTCTCGGCTGATGACTATAGCCATGGCAGGCCTAAATTACGAAAAATGTTTTTTATACCTAGATGATTGCGTCGTAATCGGTTCTAGTATCGATATTCATAACAAAAATCTCATTAGCGTATTGAATCGATTAAGAAAAGTTAATCTCAAACTAAACCCAATTAAGTGCGAATTTTTAAGAAAAGAAATAGTCTATTTAGGTCATAAAATTACTCAAGACGGAATATTCCCAGATCCCAGTAAAATTGACACCATACGTAATTACCCACGCCCGACTTCTGCTGACGAAGTAAAACGACTCGTCGCGTTCGCCAACTATTATCGTCGGTTTATTCCACGTTTTGCTGATATTGTGTTCCCATTGAATGCATTAACTAAAAAAGGTATTAGATTTGAGTGGACTAAAGATTGCGAAAGTTCGTTTATTACATTAAAATCTGCTTTAACGAACCCTCCAGTGTTGGACTATCCCGACTTTTCGGAAAATAACACATTTCAGTTGCAGACAGACGCATCTAAGTTAGGCTTAGGCGCCGTACTCTCAAATAGTAATGGAAAGGTTGTCGCTTACGCTAGTAGGAGTTTGAACCCGGCAGAAACTAGATATCAAATAATAGAATTAGAATTATTAGCTATCGTGTGGGCAGTCCGTCACTTTAGGCCTTACTTGTACGGCAGAAAATTTAAAATCTTTTCGGACCATAGACCCCTTGTTTACTTATTCGGTTTAAAAGACCCGTCTAGTCGTTTAACAAAATTCCGACTATACCTTGAAGAATACGACTTCGAAGTAGAATACGTCCCAGGGCGAAATAACGCAGCTGCAGATGCGTTAAGCCGACTCCCGGTGACGTCACGCGATTTGAAAGAAATGCAGGAAAAAGTAGTATCCGTTTTAACTAGAGCTCAAAGGAAAAAGTTAGAGCCCCAAACGGACACCGGACAGATAGACAAACAGCCTCCATTTAGTAGGCCTGATCAACCTACTACTGTAGAGTTGTTAAAACGACCCAATGACATAATAGAGTTGCGTTTTCTAGGAAAAACATTTGAATAATGCGTATAATATTTTGTCCGACGCTAAACTTTGCACGTATAACCCGTCGTTATCGACCATATTCCTATATTCTCGATCGTTATTGTCTCTAGAAGAGTTAGCGAGAGATCTAGAAAAAATGTGCATAAAATTAAATATAAAAGAATTACTCATAATTAAAAACAAGAGTAATGAGAAAAATATTAAGAGTTTGCTGCGCAGCATAAAAATGTATAAAATAGCGTCACCACGATTTTTGATTATTAAAGACATTAAGCGAATAAATAATAAAGAAGAAATTACCACGGTACTTAATGACTTTCACCTGTTACCAACAAGTGGTCATGCAGGCATGAATCGTATGTTAAATAATATTAAAAAATATTATTTCTGGCCAGGTATGAGCAATGACGTCATGAACTATGTCCGCAAATGTAAAAGTTGTCAAGTTCAAAAGCATACTAACAGAAATATTAGAGATCCTCTGACAATCACTTCAACTGCTAACTCAGCGTTTGAACAGGTTAATTTAGATATTATGGGCCGTTTAGATATAGATAACTATAATAATAAGTATATTTTAACAATCCAGTGTGATTTAAGCAAATTTGTAGAGGCTTATCCTTTACCTAGAAAGGATAGTGAAAGTGTTGCTAGGTCTTTCGTTAATAATTTTATTTTGCGTTATGGAATTCCAAGAAAAATTTTAAGTGACATGGGGACCGAATTTACCTCATCACTTATGTCCGAAGTTTTCAAATTGCTACATATAGAAAAAATCCATTCAACGCCTTATCATCATGAAACCTTAGGAGGCATTGAAAATACACATAAACATTTAGGCGCTTACCTCAGAATTCAGTGCAATAATAACTAGTCAGATTGAAGCGAATGGGTTCCTTTTTGGTGTTTTTGTTACAATACAAGCGTTCATTCAAAAACAAAATATACTCCATACGAACTAGTTTTCGGCAAAATTTGTAATATTCCTAGTAATTTATCAACACATGTTGACCCACCGTATAATTTCGATGATTACCCTAAGGAGTTAAAGTACCGTTTACAAAAAGCACAGTTGGATGCTAAGGAAAATTTGTTAATAAGTAAAAATTTAAGAAAAATTAAGTATGATCAAAAATGTAATAAAGTACAATATAAGCCAGGAGATTTAATCTTAATAAAAAACCAAACAGGTAACAAATTAGATTGTTTGTATGAAGGACCTTATAAAGTTTTGGAAGAATTACCACCTAATGTAAAATTTCTAAAAAATAACAAAGAAATTATTTTACATAAAAATAACACAAAGCCATTTCAATTGTAATGTTTATCTTTGAAATCAAAAAAAAAATGTTTGCTTTTCAGATAAGTACCTATACATTCATTATGTTATTAGTCTTAAGTTATATGTACACTAATCATTTTTTTTTCCCTAAAGAGGGTAGTGAGGTACCCCTTACTTTTCGGGGGAGATGTAGTGCATTACCTAGAAGTTTTATATTTCATGCGCGAGTCCCGTGTGACTCTGCTGCGCAAGCGCGTTTAGCATAAGTTAGATTTTATAAGAAATGATTGTATTTGGGACTCAATAAACGACCGACGTACGGTGAAGACGTATCTTTTCTTTTCCCCACGCGTACCATGCCTCAATGAGGAAGAAGTCGAAGAAATGGCCATCGGTGAAAACGTTGGGAACGAGGGGAGCGAGTCGATTGTGATGACTGGGATATATCTGTTAGTAATATTTATATGTAACATCACACACAAGTATAGATAAATAGACACTTATAGATATTATCGGGTTCATTTTTCAACAGAGCATGCCCATTTTCTATCTGCGGTCCGACGGGTCTTTTAGTGACCTGTCGGATTTGCTGGAAGAGCCTGCGGAGGTGTCTGTAAGTTATATTTATAGCATCAGTCATGAAACATTTCTATGTAAATTTTTATATTTCAGCTAGTATTTATATTAATATTTATTTATAATTATTATACAATGTCGCCCATCGGCAAGTGACCGCCCGGGATATTCTGCATGTACATGAAAAATTATCGGTAAAAAAACCTAAAAAGGGGGGTCTATCTTAAATACTTTTTAAGTTATTGAATTTTTAATTTTTTGAATGATGTTGGTCACCTTGTTCCACACTTTTTTGCTCTAGCTCCAATGCTACGGGCACGATTTCGATTCTGTTTTCTTATTTCATCAGGTTAATAAGTTGTTTTGTTGGATTACGTAACATTTTTAGTTAAAATAAGGCGAATCATAAAAATAAACGTAGACAAAGACATTTTTTCTAAGCAAAAAAGTGATATTTATTTACAAAAACACGTGTAAGTACATAAAATGCCCCCTTAACATGGGCTTTTTACTCATTATTAATAATCTAGAGCATAACTACTACACATTTACAATACACTATCAATATCTATCTCTTAAAATTTTTTAATAACAGCGTGTCAAAAATTTGCTCCATATCAAGCAAAAAAAAGGTCATCCAGGTAGAAACCGGTTCTTAGAGACCGCTAGATAACGCACGTGCGCACTCTTCTCGGTTGGTTGTTTGTGCATCATTCAGTCGCTCGATTACTGATCCCGGGACGTTACGTGTTTTTTAATTTGTGCGCTATTTATCTTTTCGAGGACCATTCCTGTGCGTTTCAAGCATCGTAATGCTACGATTGCGTGATTTACCGCCTTCTCACGTAGCTGATATGCATTTTGTATACGGTTTTTGTGATGGGAATGCACGTTCTGCTGTCGAAGAGTACAAACGTCGTTATCCAGGTAGGCCAGTACTTGGGTACCGGTCCTTCATTGCTGTGCATCGTCGTTTTTGTGAGCAAGGACTTCCACGACAAAATGAGCCTGGCGTGGCACTTCACGTGGACATGGAAGAGGAAGTGTTAAGATTAGTGCGCGCTGACCCTATGACAAGCATTCGTCTCTTGTCAATAAGACTGAATGTACCAAGAATAACAATCTGGAGAATTCTTAAGAAAGAAGGCCTCCATCCTTATCACTTCCGGCGTGCTCAACATTTGGAAGATGTGGATTACCGTGCGAGATCTGTGTTTTGTAGCTGGATTTTATCGCAACAAAGAACCAATCCTGAGTTTCTAAAGAAGATTTTGTGGACGGACGAGAGTACATTCACAAGGGCGGGTATTACAAACCACCGAAATCTTCATGTCTGGGCCGCTGAAAACCCACACGTCAGAAGAAAAACATCTTTTCAGAAAGAATTTTCTGTTAATGTATGGGCTGGAATAATTGACAATATGCTCATTGGCCCTTACGTATTGCCTCACAGGCTAGATCAACACGCATATTTAGATTTTCTCCAAAATACGTTGCCCTCACTTTTGGATGAAGTGCCGCTGGCAACGAGAAGAAGAATGCATCTGCAACTAGACGGAGCCCCAGCACATTTCGCACGACTAGTGCGAAATTATCTGAATGAAAATTATCCGCGATGGATCGGTCGAGGAGGCTCCGTTGCTTGGCCGCCGAGATCGCCCGACCTGACACCCTTAGATTTTTATTTATGGGGATTCATGAAACAGAAGGTGTATGCCGCGCGCATTGAAAGCCGCGAACAATTAACGGCTAGGATTTTTGCTGCCGCAGAGGAAATTAAAGAAAATCCTGCAGAATTACTGCGAACAACCAATAGTGTAGCCACGAGGGCTTTTATTTGCTTACAGGACGGTGGGGGCCATTTTGAAAACTTAATTAATTAAAATTGTTGTTTTTTTTAATCATGCCTGTTATTTTTATTATAAATAGGCATTTCTGCATTAATAGTTTTAACTCTATGTCGCCATGTCGTCCGCATCAATTATTTAAAGGGTGCGCACGTGCGTTATCTATCTACCGGTTTCTAGGAACCGCTCTCTACCTGGATGACGATGATGCACAGCAAGGAGGGACCCGTTTTTGACACGCTGTTATTAAAAAATTTTAAGAGATAGATATTGATAGTGTATTGTAAATGTGTAGTAGTTATGCTCTAGATTATTAATAATGAGTAAAAAGCCCATGTTAAGGGGGCATTTTATGTACTTACACGTGTTTTTGTAAATAAATATCACTTTTTTGCTTAGAAAAAATGTCTTTGTCTACGTTTATTTTTATGATTCGCCTTATTTTAACTAAAAATGTTACGTAATCCAACAAAACAACTTATTAACCTGATGAAATAAGAAAACAGAATCGAAATCGTGCCCGTAGCATTGGAGCTAGAGCAAAAAGTGTGGAACAAGGTGACCAACATCATTCAAAAAATTAAAAATTCAATAACTTAAAAAGTATTTAAGATAGACCCCCCCCCTTTTTAGGTTTTTTTACCGATAATTTTTCATGTACATGCAGAATATCCCGGGCGGTCACTTGCCGATGGGCGACATTGTATATAAATGTTTGCAGCCCAATAAAAATGTGTTTATTATTTCAACAGGGGTCATGGAGCAGTGCTCCGGCTCCGGATGCAGCTCCGGAGGCTGTTCCAGGCCCCGCACCCCGCAGAGTGGAAGTAAGTAGTAATACAAAACATCAGTCCTGAAACGTTTCTATGTAAATTTTTATATTTCAGCTAGTATTTATAAAAATATTTATTTATATTTATTATATATAAATGTTTGCAGCCCAATAAAAATGTGTTTATTATTTCAACAGGGGTCATGGAGCAGTGCTCCAGCCCCGGCAGCTCCGGAGGTTGCTCCGGAGGCCGGAGGTAATATATATATATGTAGCGGCGCTGCCGTCGCCGCCACAAACGAAAACACACCGAAGCCTAAATCGCGCTATCAACATTCCGAATCATAAACAGTATATATAGAACATCTCCGAATTATTACACGGAGTGTGAGCCGCTCCCCGGGCAGAACACCTTGCCCGGCGGGAGATCTCCCCTTTTCCTTCCACGGCCACAGTGGTGACCCCGACGTGATCAGAACACGCAACCAAACAACCTTCGGAAACTCAAGCTTCATCATCGTCATAGAATACCCCACCCATTCGCTCCCGAGCAGATATCGTCTGCAGTCTTCTTATCCTGCAAGCCATCTAGCTTCACAAGGTTCATCGCAGCACTGGAATAATAATGCTTCCTGTTCCTTCAAGCTACTCTCTGCGCCATACAGTGTTCAGCATGGCTCTGAGCCTTACTGCTCGCCTCTGCTTCACGGCACTCTCGCAGATTACTTGCCTTCTTCTCGACTCACCGCAGACTACAAGGCAATCCACTGGCACTTGCACATTCGTCGGCAACAAGGCTGCACTAACGACCTCCGGTCTGAGCAGGGGGGTGATGTAGCGGCGCTGCCGTCGCCGCCACAAGCGAAAACACACCGAAGCCTAAATCGCGCTATCAACATTCCGATTCATAAACAGTATATATAGAACATCTCCGAATTATTACACGGAGTGTGAGCCGCTCCCCGGGCAGAACACCTTGCCCGGCGGGAGATCTCCCCTTTTCCTTCCACGGCCACATATATATATATATGTTTGCAGCACAATAAGAACGTGTTCTATTTTCAACAGGATTTACCTGCTCCAGGCCCCGCACCCCGATTCATGGTGGAGGTGTTAGACACGGCGGCGGCACGTCAGCGGCGAGGGACCGCGTCTGTACGCGGGCGTGGTCGTGGACGTGGCCGTGGACGTGGACGTAGCCGTGGCCGCGGCCGTGGCCGAAGCCTGGGTTGGTTGCGTGGAGCACTAAGTGCAAATTTTCCTAAACGACACGGATTTGCCCTTGGATATTCAGGGGCAAATCCGTGATCATTCCATTAGGAGGCAGAGGTATGAAAGAAGAAGGATACCTGCAAATCAGGAAGAGGAGAATGTGAGGGAGGATGAATCGGAATGGGATGAAGATGATAGTTTTGAGTGGCGAGGGATGAACGAGTAGAATGGCAGGCAATGCCATTTTGTGTTAGAACAGACTGGGCCTACCGTTTCGATTCAAGATCCATATGAGGCCATGCATGCCATCTGGACAGATGACATCATGGCCCATATTGCTGACGAAACGAACCGGTATGCCGAATCAGTTTTGGTACAGCAGCTTTCAGGTTTCATGAAAGATTGGTTTCAGACCAATCTACATGAAATCTGGACGCTAATGGCATTTTGGATCATGCTTGGCATTATTAGAATGCATTAAATCCTGTTTCTGCAAGCTTATATTTATTATATATATTAATATATAGAATATATTTTATAGCATTTAAAGCTCCGACACCGGTAACCGGACACACTGTATATATGTGTATATATATAGTTTTTATATTATATAATCGGATGAGAACTTTCAAGGTTAAGAATTTTTGTTCAGCTCCACTAAGCAATTTTGAGGAATTTATTTTGTATATAATACATGTTTTTATTTATTTATTAGAATCGTGTCGAAACGTCAGCATGACGATGGCATTGCCGGGCAGATCCGTGAGATACCGGAAGGTCGCCTGTTGCCGTGCTATCCTTGCGTGGTAACGGCAGAAGGCATGGTACGCACACAAGGCGATCCAGTGCTGTACCAAGCGACATCAAGCGGACGCATTCCTGTAAGTACTTCGCAAAAATTTCGCACAGATGTATTGGGCACGATAAACCGCCGGCGAAAGGGGATACCACAGGTTATAAAGGATTTGAACCCGAAGCAGCTGGAGCGTGGAGTGTCTGTAGGTAGACATTGCGGTGACATCGCGTTGGTGGCGTGGAAAGAGGTCAAACTTGTCACCGTTTTGTCTACCTACCACCAACATGAGATGGTACCGGGAAGACGTGCTGGACAGGCGGTCCTGAAGCCAACAGTGGTTCAGGAGTACAACCGATACATGGGAGGCGTAGACTTAAAAGATCAGAAATTGTCTGTGTTCTTATTATAACGCAAAAGAAACCAGAAATGGTACATAAAAGTGTTTAAAAGGCTGTTAAACACCAGTCTTCTAAACGCTTTCATTATTTATTTGCGGAACCCCATGTATCACATGTACTCCCACCGCCAGTTTAGGCTGAAGGTCGCCGAAGGGTTAAAAAATAATTTTATCAGGAGATGTAGACTATGTATTCGAACTAGAGGCAAACAATTCGAGCATCCACTTTAATAAATACGTTAATTAAAAAAGTTCAATTTTTTGGCAATATCCCATAACTAAGGTAATAAGTTCGGCTTTAGCGCTACCCTAAATGATAAAAATGGTAATTTCGACATGTACTGTATATATAGTAGTAGTTGTATACTAGTAGTTGTTCCATTTTACCATTTTAACTTTCAACGAACGTTAAAAATGTCTTTTTTTTATTTTATTGCAGGGTACCTAACGTCCGTGTTTTTTACAACACATATCGCAGACTTTCTGAATCTGGTATTCATCATGCTGAACCTGGAGTAACTGCAGGTAGATATAACGCCAATCTTGAGGAGCAAATTTTCGCAGCCTTCGAAGCGGATCCTACTACCAGTGTCAGAGCTGTAGCGAGACTTTAACCTTTCGATATGGAAAGTGTTGCACAACGAACATAAATATCCGTTTCATGGAACAGGCGTACAAGGCTTGGAGGAAGGGGATCCGGCTAGAAGGATGCAGTTTTGCCGTTTTCTGCTAAACGCAGATATTGACAACACGTGGTTCTTAGAGTCCATCCTCAGGACTGACGAATCAAAGTTCTCTAGGAAAGGAATTACTAACTTCCACAACCTCCATGAATGGGCTGATAAGGACAAAAATCCACATTCGAAAAAACAGGTATTTTTTATTATTATTCATGTTCAACACAAGTGTTACACACTTGTTACATCCAGTGCAGCTCAGATTCGATCATACAACCTCGGCTCTAAAAGAGATCGAATTCGATTAGAAGTACTGCCCTATGAAAAAACTATTTTTTCGTTTTAAACAAAACCAAAGACCATATGCAATAGATAATAGTATCAAAGACAAAGATATGCTATGATAAACGTAACCTGGCAATGTTTCTTAGGAAAAAAAAAGAAATCACTTTGAACTTCCGGCGTTCCACGTGTGGCATTGCGCACAAGTGCTTCAGCATATTTTGAAAGATTTATAATTTTGTCTGCGATAAAAACATAAGTGTTATACATTTTTGTAATCCTTGTGATATAACAAACCCGTAGATATATAATTTGTGGCATAAAAGTGAAAAGTGAATGCTCAAAATGGTTTGAAATCGAAATGATGTAGAAAAGTTCAGACGAAATAGTAAATGTAAATGTCTATAGTTACGGATAAACCTAATTGAATACGGTAAAATCCTAATGAAATTACGAGATAATTTCATATTTTACAAGATTTCGTACATTTTTCCTATCAAAATTGTATCATAACCTATACAATTGTTCATAAAACGGTTCAATACCTATATAACAATCCAAATATTTCGCCATATTTAGCATATTTATATGTGGTTGCGCGGAAAACCATTCGCGTTTTTATTTGACGGTAGGAACTTGCTGAATCATTATTCCTTTCCAAAACGATATCATTCGTACCCTCCTATCGACACATCGGGGTGATGGGGTGGGAGGGGAAAGAAGACGATTCTAGAACATCGCGTAATCATCGGAGCCGAGGATATATAAGACACGCGCGACCGACGCGCGCTCTTCCTCTTCCCGCGCGCTCGTTTGGAAACACCTCACTAGTGGAAACCGCTTTGGCCTGGAAGCAGTCGAGCTCCAGGAACCCGCCTCACCTCGTGTGAGATATCGTCGCGCACCGCCTCTCTCCGGAGTGTTCCAGAAGTCGCTATAGTGATCGACAGGATAGAAGAAACCCCGGTGAGTCAATATTCCTTAATTTACTGCCTGATTAATATTTAATAATTGTTTTAACCGTTCCAATTCTGTGCTCCTCATCAGGCAGGATTCCTTTCATCGATTTGGCAAGTAATAGTTTTAGTTTAGGGAAGAGCGAGAGCATTGTACCGCATGCTATAGTAGTCGCTTTTACGTAAGCGTAGAAGCAATCGCAAATACAGTCCACTTTAGTTAATATCTCGCGTAATAGGTTTGAGGTTTGACCGGGGAACTAGATTTTCGGCAGCATTAAACACGTGGCTCCACCATTTTATGGTCACTTCGGCAGGATCTGGATTGGTGTTTAGTGGTTATCCAACCATTTTCTGGTAGAATTATTAAATTAATTGTTTAGATAACGCACTCTAATTTATGGAATAGACTTAAATAGTGTTCGTTTAAATTAAAATTTTGATTTGGTACTCGCAAACGGAATTATTCATTTAATAGCGCTCGTATTTGGTTAAATTTAAAGCTTATTAAATAAATGAAACGGTGTGATAGCAACTGTTTGATACGCTTACCCCACAATTTTGATAAAATTATTAGGTTTAGCAAACGACGCGTAGACTCGACCGCAACGGGTGTTCGATCTAATTACGTAATACGGCACGCCAAGTGTTCATCCTACGTCGTTCATGCGTGTGAGATTAATTGTGATTAATATAACTTTATTATAATAATTTAAAATGGCAGTTAGTGGAAGTGAAATCAAAATTAAAACGCTTTATGCCAAGAGGGACATACTCTTTTCGCGTGTGCAGAATATAAGTGATTATATAAAGAACATTAATATAGAGGCAGTGCGGGAAGCCTTTTTGAATGAAATCGAAACGATAGATACTTTGCGGATAGATTACGAAAGAATATTAGACCAAATTAATCATTTGGAATTACAAATCGACCCGAAATACATAGTGAACTACCAACCGCTGCTGGCATTCGAAGACATGTTGTGTCGCGTAAAAAGAACTGCAAAACTCCTACAATCTCAAAGCGAAGCAAAGCCGGAAATACAGGTACGCCCTCGTGACTCAATTAGGTTACCGCCAATAGATATTCCGGTATTCAATGGTGATATTAAGACGTGGCCCTTCTTCTTCAGTAGTTTTCAAAACAATATACACAACAACCCATCGTTATCGGACGCTGAAAAATTATATTACTTAACCTGTTAGCTCGAGGCCACGCGTAATATGACACTCCCGTTCGCTCGCGACCTTTTTGGCGGGAAAATTTGCAAATTAGCAAATTTTTTTGCTATATTGCAAATTTTGCTATATTTTCACTTTGAGACAATATTTATGGATAAAACTTACAGGAATTCTTGTTGAATGTATAAACTATTGAATAAAATTATTTTGGTTGTTAGAAATTATAATAAAATTCATAAATTACCCTTTATAGCATAAGTAGTAGTATATACTTCACTTTTAGTGCCAAAATTACTACTAATTTGAATTCTACACTTTTGTTTTTGGAGAAATTTATATGAAAATGTTTGGAAACATGTATATTTTTATGTTTTATGTGTTTCCATTCGTTACTCATACCAAAATATTAAAATATTATAAAAATTAAAAAAAAAAAATAATATTTTATCTGTATGACATTTCGAACAATATTTCTAAAATATGTTTGTGTGAATTTGAAATAAATACAACGTCATGTTATTTGAAATATATACGAAAACTATTTTTACTTACATTTTACACTAAAAATAAATGAGAATTTGAAAAATAACACATTTATAACTCACCTGCCAAAACGGGCTTTCCGGAATTTGAAGTACTTTTGGCAATTTACTTTTCACTTTTTATACCACAAATTACATATCTACGTGTTTACTATATTACAAGGAATATAAAAAAGTATAATACTTTCGTTTTTAGTCCAGACACAAATATAAAATTCTATAAAAAAGATGGAGCAACTTCAACAAAGTGACACGTCGAACGCCGGAAGTTCAGAGTGATTTCTTTTTTTTTTTTTCTAAGAAACATTGCCAGGTTATGGTTTAAAATAAAAGAGCATATCTTTGTCTTTGATACTATTATATATTGCATAGTGTCTTTGGTTTTGTTTTAATTAAAAAAAAAATTTTTAAAGGGTAGTACTTGTGGTACACATGTGTATCTTGATCGAGCGAGCGTACTGTTATATCCCTTTTTACAAGACAACAAAATATTAGTAAGCATTTATTTAATCACACGGTACTTCTCCTTAATATAGCTATAGTCAGCAATTATATTGTTATATTGTTCTTTTGTTGTATTGTTCTTTTGTTATATCCCTTTTTACAAAGCAATAAAATATTAGTAAGCATTCATTGAATCACACGGTACTTTTCCTTAATATAGCTATAGTCAGCAATTATATTGTTATATATTGTTTCTTTCCATTTTTAATGTTCAGTTAGACTCAGAGCCCCGGGTAGATCGGACATAGATTCCGAGACTTATTAGAGTTCGGAAGTCAAGGACTATATTAATTTGGTGTGAACTTTTTTTTTGCAATAAACCTTTAGGTTTATTTGGTGTTTCTTTTTTTAAAAAAGTCAAACGGGATCGGCCTCCCAACAAATTGGTGTCAGAAGTGGGATGCCAAACAGAAGATCATAAAAGACTTTGGCATCCGAATCCGAGGTCCCCGAAATCACCAAGGTCGACATTAAGCCTTAGCCGTGCCTAAGCCTGCGCCTACCACAATTTGGACGACGATCAGCCTCCGCTCTGAAGCGTGAGCCCGCTCCATTCACATCTGGTCCTGAAATCACCCGTCTGGCCGACGATCAGCCTCCACCAGGAGCCCGCACCAGCTGGGTCTAACTCACCAACATAAAAACATTTTCTGAAGAATATTCTACATCTTTCATTCCTACCATTTCCCACGACGCGACGAAGTCACCGTGTCAGCGATTCCGCCCGCCAGCCGCCACGAGTGTAACGTGTCACCGAGCCATTGTTACGAGTAAATGCAACGTATAGAAGTTATTATTTTCCTGTAAGTCGTTTTGTTTTGTAAATTAAATTTATAAAATTTACCTTTATTTTACACTGTTTTGTACTA